GAATCTTAGAATAAACAGATAAGCAAAAGAAGTCTGAGATTGCTGTTTAGTGAAATTTGATTTCCCACAAATTTGTGAAGCAAAGTAGGGGAAAAGAAGTAAATAGAGTTGAATGACTTTCAGAGTCAGAAAGTATTTTAGGAATCATCTTCCTAATTTTAAATGTGAGGAAACTCAGGCCCAGAGAATAGAAGAGACTTGTCTTCGAAATCCCAAAGGCAATAAGTAGTAAGTTCAAAATTTGAACTTAGCTACCCTGGCTTTAAATTCATGGACATTTCTGGGTCTTTGATTCCTTTTTACTAATGTGATTCCTTTAAGGATCAAGAATTACTCCCTGTTCACCTGTCATCTTCTTATCAGCCTTATCCAAAAATCGTGCTCTGGAAATTTCAACACTTTTGTCTCAAGAATTTCCAGGCACCTACCACCCCATCCTTGTTGACAACCGCCACCCACCTTTCCCCACCTGGGATAATTTTTGTTAATTTCTCGGTTTAAAACCTACATAATACCTTATTCTGATACTTCTCTTAGGTATGAAAGTGACCCTGGGTTCTCTAGGTTATGGTCACAGAACATAAGCTCTGGCCAGTTGAAAGGCTTCAAGTAGGGATGAATCCTCTCTTGCATCTAGAGAACTATATTAGTTGAATAGTTAATCATAGTTAAGAATTTCATCCAGAACAATACTATACGTGTATCTAGAGGGCCTTTAATAGATTGTGCTTAGGCTAGTAAGAGTTAGGCTACTGAACACAAACAAGGAATTAACAACTCTTTGTGATACAAAATTAGGAAGGCCATCTCTGGGATCCAAAGGAAATTTACTAACTCTGAAGAGTCTAAGAGTGTATAGTTGAGGTTTTTGCTGAAGACCTAGAGCTTAAGGTATTTGTAAACGTGTAATTGCACATTAATGAATTTCATTTCATTGTTCATGAATTTCATTTTATCATTCATCATTCATGCCTTCAATCATTGAAAATCATTCTTAAAGAGGGCTGACAAGTAACTACTAAGTTTGGTGTGATGGTTCAATTATGTAAAGTCCCTGTCATATCTACATGTCTTTACTCCCTATTCATAAGTTTAACAGAAATGTTAAAAGGCAGGTATATCTAGGAAGAATTACCCAAGATCTTTTAAATAAGGTGGTCCTGGGGAAAGGAAGGGGAGTGGAAATGGCAGGGGTGGGGGGACGACTAAATGGCTACTTTTTTTTTTTAACAATAACGATGAAAGATGACATGCCTATTTTGGCTGAAGAAAAACGGGAGAAAAGAGGGAGGGCATATAGAAACCCATAATTCAAATGTACTCTAATTTGCAGCCCAGGAATGCTTCCTGAGAAGTCTAATAAGCTGGGTTCCCTCTGAACAACGTGTAAATTCATTATAGGCTAAGTATAAGTCAGAGAACTTTATTTGTATGCCTGGAAAAATTCTAGAATTACTATTAAAGGCATAGTTAGTGAATATATAGAATTTATAGAAAAGGAAGCTTTTCTATATGCCAGGCATATAGAACAGGCTATACTGGATCTACCTGTTTAGCATGCTTATTAGATCAGAAGAATATTGTAGACATCATTTATCTAGATTTTTAGCAAGGGTAGAGAGGGCTCCACTTTGAGCCATGGGTTACAATCAATAAATGTTTGTTGTATTGAATTACAGGGGATTTGTATGCCCACCGTGAAATGTAGTGCCTTTCATGTAGTATGTGTTTCATAACTTTCTTGAATTTATTGGAATTAGGAAGAATGAAACAAGTTCTTAGAATTTGTTGAAATCTGGGATAATGAAGGGCTATATTTGGAAGAGAAAGTATAGGCCTACGACGGGGGTTCAGTCAAAAGGCCTGGGGAGCCACATGTGGCCTCTACTACTCTATTATTATATTATATATTACTCTATATTACTCTTTAAGCACTGCTTGAGTTCAGCAGGGATGTTGTAGAAAGCTGAGGGCATAAAGTCATCACCAGACTCAAGGCCTAGTGATTGTAGACTAATAATAATAATAACTGGCACTTCTATAGATCCCCCAGCCCTGGCTACTGTATTAAAGGAAAATTGCATTTATGTGTGAATGGGCACCTACTTTTAATTATTTGTGTATGTGTCAAATTCTATATTGGATTGTAAGCTCCACAAAGACAAGGACAATGACCATATTTTATTTTATTTTGTTACCCCCCACTCTCTTGTACATAAACAACTTAGACACAACAAACGTTTGTTGTATATCCTGCACCTGGGCAAGTCATTTAAGCTCCCCCTAGACTTAAAATGAAAGTGTTAGACTAAAAGGCCTCTGAGGTCCCTTCCAACTTTAGACCTCAAATATCAAGACTATATACAATGGAGCCTCCTTTGAAAGAAAACCCTAATTAGGCTTTCTTGAATTGAAGATAGGGGAGTGTGATCTAAATTCCCCAGAAAACAAGATATAATATTAAGATATTGATTCATATAATGGAGTCACCCCATTTCTGACAACAGCGTTTAAAAATTACTAATTCAGAAGACTGATTTGTAATAGCAATCAGAAAGGTAACTGACATTACATAGTATTTTTTTAAAAGTTTCACAACCTTGAGTAGCTGCTACATATATTACTCCTTAAAATCTTTAGTTTTCTTGAAAGTTCAGCTCAAGTGGCACCTTCTACCTTTCCTCATTTTCCCAGCTGCTGATATTTTCCCTCCTGACAATTACCTTATATTCAGAAGTGTGCTGATACCAGTTCTAACTGGCTTTGGATAACAGTTTCTTAAATTTGCAGTAAGAAATTGGCAACTGATACAAATCAAGGCTTGATTTAGCGTTTTTTGGTTGTCTAGACTTAAGAAAGTGCTCATAATGTGGATTCAGTTTAAAGGCATTTACATGCAGTCCCATTGTTAAACATTTAGCAGTACATCCCTCTATTACTGTTTAAGCACAGCTTGAGCTTAGCGTGGGGGGGGCGGGGGGGTGTGTGTGTGTGTGTGTCTGTGTCTATAGAAAGTGATCACTGGACTCAAGACCTAGTGCCTGTAGACTAATAATAATAACTGACACTTCTATGGGGTTTTAAGGTTTACAAAGTCCATTATCTCACTTGAGCTGAGTAGATTTATTTTGCATAAGCCTTTTTGTAAATACATGTTATCTGGCCCAACAATGTAAACTCCTTGTAAGTAGAAGTGATTTCATTTTTGTCTTTGTATTCACACATCCTAGCCTGGCACACAGTAGGCACTTAATGCTTGTTTGTATGAATTGATAGAGAGAATTTCCTTAAACGGGGATGACATTACAGGTCAGTATGAAGGGAAAAAAAAAGAACAGTATAATGTCCATAACGTGCCAGGAACTGCACTATGCTTTGGGCATACAAATACAATATTAAAAGCCCCTTCTCTCTAGGAGCTAACAGAAAGAACACATGCTGCTTTACTGGGGGAGGGTGGGGAGGAGGAGGTAAGAAATCATTTGAAATATTTCATGATGCAGTATCTTAGTGCACAGAAAGTTTCTCTAGGACTGAGCTATTTTATTGAAAAGCACTTGTAGGATTGGCTTTTCCCCTTCCCCAAATGTTTCCAAGAAGCAGAAAAACAGAAATATCGGATGTTATAGCGCTGGAAGCTGCCCCACATCTTCACTGTACGGAGGTATCTGGGAAGACTTGCCCGGAGAGCCTGCTTCGGGCCTAGAGACAGGCGGCAAGAACAAGTCCCAAACGTTATTTCTGGACCATGTGGCCGCAGCATTCGAGGGGAGACCCTGGCATGGAACCAAGCACGGGATTCACAATGTTCCCCATTGACGTCTAGCTTCCTTGGCCCGACCTTTGTTCCTTCACTCCCTCGTCCTCCTTTTCTTAGGCCCCCAGCTGGGCCCAATGGCGGGACAACGTGCTGGAGTGAGCATGGACCTCTGGCCTTCCAAGAGCCCGTCCGATCTGCCCGGCGGAACCTTTGTGGCCCGCGGAACCTTTGTGGCCCGCGGAACTTTAGTGGGTGATGTCCGTGTTGCCGGAGGACACTCAGGAGCAGGCAACGGACGCCGCGCGACCGAGGCTTGGCGCTGGTGGTGGGGCGGGGAAGATGGCGGCGGCCGTCTCGGTGTCTGGGGCCCAGCTGGTGGACTGGTGCATTCGCCAGCTGCGGGACACCTTCCGGCTGGATGTCATGTCAACGAAGATGTCGTGCAGTGAGAGCGGGTCCTGAGCGCAGGAGGGAAGGAGACCCCGGGCGGTGGGCGGGGAGGGCAGAAGGGAACGTGGCCGCGGAGGGGGAGAGAGGGGGAAATGGGGAGACCCGGGGTGACTGGAGCGGGGCAGGGCCCTGGGAGTCTCGAGTCACACTCGGGCCCTTTCTCCTCCCCTCCTCCTCGCCCCTAGCTCATAGCCCAGGGCGGGGCGGGCGCAGGCTCCAGCATCCCCCCTGCGCCGTGGCCATTACTGAGGACTGGTCCTGATACAGAGCACGCGGAACGCTTGTATTCTCCGGTCTGTTATGACCCAGGAGGGCGGGCACAGAGCAAATGATCCTTCCTGAAGTCCCTTCATTTCTTCCCTTAGAGATTCCCCTATTTTTGAGGGTGTGTGTGTTGGGGGAAGGAGTGGAGAGAATAGGCTTCGCTTTTGAAACCTGGCTAAATGACTTGGAAGAATGTGGAAACGATTTTAAGTCGATGTAAGGAAGTGACTTTAATGTCTTAGGTACTCTTTGTTTTTGCTGAGGAGGAATCAAAAGAAAAAAGAATAGAAGCGCAAGAAAAAAAAGTTAAGGCAAAAGTAGCAAAAAGGGCTAATAGACAAACTGTCTTGTCTGAAGTACTGGAGGAGATACTAGGAAACAGAGGTAGACAACTGTCTTGAGTGGTATGTAAAATAATGGCATATATTTGTATCATTTTACAGTTACAAAGTGCTTTATGTCCCTTATGGAATCTTCACAACAATCCTATGAGGTAGGTGGTGCAAATATTATTGTCACCATTTTATAGCTGAGTTACCTGAGGTGAAATGATTTGCCCAAGGTCACACTGCTAGAAAGTGGCAGATCAGAATTCTAAGAGTCTAGTCTACTTCTCACTATTTCACTACCATCCTCACTATTTCACTACCATCCCATTGTGGTGTCTAGGGAATGGTGCCTTATCTTAGAAAGTGGCAGATCAGACTTCAGAAAATCCACAGTACTTCTCACTGTTTCACCACCATCCCTTTGTGGTATTGGGGGTTGGTGTCTTATTTTTGTGATATTCCATGCCATTCTTAAGATCACTCTGTATTCTTCTTTCAAAATAATTTTCCTTCTGCTTCCTGATGAGATAAACTCGATTTTAATTTTTAAAAAGTATATGTACATATCTGCTGAGTGAACAGAACAGGGGTATAGTAAAGTATTCCAGACTTGAAGTCAGAAGATCTACCACTCATTAGCTTTGTGACCTTGAACAAGTTATTTAATCTGTTTTCTTATCTGTAAACCTCAGTTTCCATATCTGTAAAATGGGGATAATAATATTGGCAGTACCTCATATACATGTTAAAGTTATACGAGATTCCTTGATAGATATGACAACAGAGATGCTTTTGTTCATTTTTCTGTTTATTAATATTAAATAAGGCATAATACAGGAAGTTTTAGGCTTGTTAATATAGTAGAGGAAATCTAGCACAGAGCCCAAGTGAAAGGTGGCATAGGTGGGAGTATCTTCCAGATGTCTTCATTTGAAGATGATGTATCTGTTGAATCAAACATTGGTATGTTGCAAAACTTCCTAAATGCTATTATTTAAAAGAATTTGGCCTAAAAAGTAACTAAGGAAAAACATGAGTAGATGAAGAATGTCTAATTTCCGGACTCTGATTTGCAATTGGATACATGGTCCATTGGAATGGTATATTAGGATGTATGTCATGGATAGATATTACAAATAGACAATGAACTGGTTTTTCCTATAATTGGGTGGGAAGAAGAAAGTGAGCTGGAAGGCTTTCAGGAAATTCTACAGTGCTTTCAGTGGACTCAAGCTTCTCCTTAAACAAAAATCCATATTTTTAACATCATTTTACTTCTAGGGATGCTATATGATTCATGGACTACTTACCACAATCTTCAGAGAATAAAAATTGCAGGTCATGCATCTGGCAATAAGGAGATATATGCTGACCATTACCAGTGATGAATTTGTGCAAAAAGCAGCTTAACAGATCTTAAGAAAAAGCTTTATCTTGGAAAAGGAGACTGGATAATCATGAACTGAGTGAGAGATAACAAAATGGATGGTCTGTGTATTCTACTGGTATCATACAATGTCAAATGACTTAAAAGAAACACCCCACCATATTGTTAGACCTTCTGCAGAAAGTTTACTGAAGAATACATATAAGAGTAACACAGGATAAAGTACAATTAGATTTTAAACTCTGCTATTGGGGGAGTATAGAAATTGATGAGATCAGAGATTGATTGAAGTAATAACAACTTTACAAGATTGTTGTGAGGACCAAATGAGATCATGTACTTGAAAGCACTTTGTAAATTATACGGAATTTTATGTTAGCTACGTGTAAATGCTAATAATAATAGTCCTTGTGCCTAATAAAATGTTAACCTTGATTTAGAATTTAAAAGTGTGGAGTGAGCAACTCATCCAGTATAGTATATGTTTATGTCTTTCACGTGAATTATGAAAACTATGAATTCAGAGACGGTACAATTTTTTTTTGGTTTCAAGGAAAGACAAGACCCCAGATCTCTAATTATAGGAAATTTTATTTTAGTATAACAAAGCATAGCTCCACCAATCTTTCTTCTTCACTGATTCAAGAGAGAGAAAAAATTGGTATGCATATAGATTAAAATAAACATTAATCTGACATTTAATATATTAGAAACCAAACCCTTGTTTCATCAGCTGTTCTCTTTGATTTCTGAGGTATGTTATGTCAATTGAGGATGCTGAAGAGATACGAGAATATGTTACTGATCTTCTCCAGGGAAATGAGGGCAAAAAAGGCCAGTTCATAGAAGAACTTATAAACAAGTGGCAAAAGAATTATCAAGACTCAGTTTCTGATCCTCTGCAGATATACAGAAAAAGAGATGGTGAGCCAAATGGGTGATAGAGCAGGGGAACTGAGATTAAACTATATAATTAAGAAACAGGTCTCCCAAGCATGGACCAAATGTTCTTGTCACCTCTGTGTTTCCATCAATCAAGCCTTTAAAAGATCCATTTCATTGTCCAAAAAATAGCATCAAAATTATATGTTTTAGTTTAATTCTGTTTCACTTCCCCTTGATGTTTAGACAAACCTATTTTCTTTGATAAATGCTACTTTTGAAAAAACAACCCCTAAACCTTTTTAAAGAACACTTTTAAAATGGCTACCCTTACATTACATATGAAACACACTTATATGAGATGAAACTAACATGTTCACCTCTGTGCTCATCTGGGTGAAGGGCAAATGATTAATCCTTTGAGATGTGAATAGCTTGTAGAAACAAACATTTTCTTATAAAGTACAATATGTGAATGATGCACTAATAGTGTAAGCTGTTGTTATGTAGTATATATTATGTTTTTAACTAAACTTTTTAATTTAAACCTGTAGCTAGAAGTATTTCCTTTTAGCATTTTGTAAATTGGTATTGCTTAACAAATACACATCTTTTTCTGGGAGGGAGAAGACAATTGGAGTTAAGTGACTTACCCAGGGTTATACAGCTAGTAAGTGTCTGAGGTTACATTTGAACTCACAAATTCTCCTGGCTCTGGACCCAGTGCTCTATCCACTGTACCATCTACCTGCCGCAACAAATGAAATGAATTATTAAGTTTAGTACTGGCTTGAGGGTCATGCAACAAACAGCAAAAAAAGTGTTTTTGTTTGTTTTAACTTCCTCCCCCAAATAGATAAGCCTTATTATGTCTTCTAAGATCATAAGATAATAGATTTAGAGCTGAAAGGGACCTTAAGAGGCCATCTAATTCCACCCCTTCTTGCCCACTGTTACGTGAATAACAAGGGGAAGCACTGGAATTTGAATTTAGGTCCCAAGTCTCCAATTCTAGCATTCCCAAATTCAGTGCTCTTTCTACTAATTTCCCATTGCCTCTCTTCTTCACTATCCATAAAAAGTTATTGAATAATTTTTGGTTTTGTCTTTATGGTACTTAGAGATTTCAGATGGCCAGAGACTTGGGGACCAGTTGAAGAAAGGTAGGCGCAAGGGGAGAAACAAGCAGGAGGTTCCTGCATTTGCTGAACCTGAATCAACTGTAGAGGAAGTCAAAACACCACTTGATTTAGCCAAGGTGAGTGCTCATTGAAAGAAGTCTATACTGAGCTCTACAGTATAGAGAAGTAGAGGCAATGGCTAGTAGAATTTGAGATAGAAAAAAGAAGCTCTATTCTAAAGTGTTACTTTTTCAGTGAAAAAGATCCATGTATATTAGTGGGGGGAGGGTAGGAAGGCAGAAAACTACCAATCGTTATAGAATCCTCTTTATTTGGGCATGTAATTGCTACATTATTAGCTCTCTAATCAGCTAGATTATCCAGCCCCTAGCACAGTGCCTGGCACATTATAGGCACTTAATCAATGCTTATTGTTTATTGAAATGGGGATCACATAGAGAAACAAATTCAGAGGTTTGAGAATAGATCATTATATGGATGAGAGATTTCTAAGGAAAAGAACTTGAAATGCTTTCAGGAAATAGCATTAATATTTATGAGAGCATGTTCAATATATATTTAGTTATTGCCTTTTTGAGGTTGCTATCTGTGTGACCTTGAAAAGTCATTTAACTTTTTTGGGCCCCAGGTTTTTTATTTATAAAGTAAGAGGGATTAGACTAGATGATCTTTAAGGTCTCTTTCTATTCTAAAATGATGATTTATTATTATTTCTCCTCAAATTAGCACTGAACACTAGACTCAACCATGATATTAAGGTATGGGTAATTAATTAGTGATGAGCCATGGAAACTAAGGTCCATATATGCGAACTTACTCATATTTTTCAGTTTATTGTAATTCCCTAAGCTTTTGATTGACTCTGTTATTTTACCCTAACCTGCTGAGTGATATCACTCATTTACCATTTACTAATAAATTCATTTACCAGTACGCACTGAAGAGGCATCTCTTCATCTCTTGTGAACATCTAGAAAAAATTATGATGTTTCACCATGGCTTTATTGATACTTGGTCATTCCAAACTAACCTCATTTCCTTTTTTGACAGGGTTACTAGGCTGTCAGGAGAATGTTCTAGATATAATTTACCTAGAGTTCAATAAAGCATTTGGGAAACCTCTCAACAGGATAGGAAAACGTGGGCTAGATGATCAGATAAATAAATTTGATGTTTGTTAAATGGCTGGACCACAAGATTTAATAGCTTGATGTCACCTTGGCATGAGATCTCCAATTGAGAATTCCAGACATCTGTCCTTGCCATGTGCTGTTCAACATTTTTGTCATTTATTTGGATGAAGGCAGAGATGGCATGCTTAATAAATATGAAATTACAATATCTTAAATTTGTAGTTTTCAGAATAGGAGTCCAAAAAGACACAGAATTGATGGGCTGAATAGAAATAAGATAAAAGTTAATAGAAAAAAGATGTAAAGTCTTACAACTGAGTTTAAAAAATATCCGCTTCACGAGAGCAAAGTGGGGAAGGTATGACTAGATAACAGTTCATCCAAAAAAAGCATGGGAGGTTTTCATAGATTGATATTCAGTATGAATCAGCAGTATGCTATGCTAGTCAAAAAAGCTAATGTAGTCTGGGCTTATTCTGAGGCATGTTGTTCACATGCCAGGACAGAGGTTATAGTCCTTCTCTACTCTGCCCCATTCACACCATAGCTGGAGTAGTATTCATTTCTGGCTGTCACATTCTAGGAAGAACATTGACAAGCTAGGTAGTGCCCAGAGGAGGGCAACTAATAATGAAGTAATGGGTTACTCCTATGCCATAAGGTTAAAGGAATAGGGCATGTTTGTTCTAGAGAAGAGAAGACAATGGGGCACATGATACCTGTCTTTATTATTTTAAGGGTTGTCCTGTAGAAGAGGGTTAGATTTGTACTGCTTAGTCTCAGAGGACAGAACTAGGAGCAATTCATAAAAGTTTCAGACAGGCAAATCTCGACTTGATGTGAGGAACACCTTCCTAATAGTTATCCAGAAGCAGTCTTTGGACCGCTTGGAGAACAAATGGTCTCCCTCTCCCTGGAGCTCTTCAAGTGAAGTTTAGATGACTACTTCTTGGGAGGTAATAGTGAAGATTCTTCATCAGGGATGTGTTGAACCAGATGGCTTGAGAATATAGGTTTTGTGTAGTGTTTTTAGAAATGCACCACATTTCTGTCTTTGGCCGTATTTTTATAATTGGTAGACAGATTTGTCTAAAAGCATTGTAAGAAAAAAATGGAAAAGTGATTTGCCTGGGGGATACCACATGTTTTGGAAACCTATAAGAAATCATTCCTCCTAGACTGAATTTAAAATTCCTTAAAGCTTTTATGTATTTAAGTTGTACTTTCAAAATGTACTGTAGGAAAGAACTTGCATGAAATAACACAGGAAATAGAAAGGGTAAAACTGTGTGTGTAATTGTATAAAAGGGAAAACATATATACAGTAAATGCACAGAGAGAATGGTAAGGGACATGGAAAGACTTGGGTTAAAGTAGTTCCTCTGACACCACCTGTGAGATCTTGGGCAAGTCACTTTAAGCTATCTGGGCCTCAGTTTCCTCATCTGCCAAATGAGAGGGTTGGACAAAATAGCCTCTGAGGTCCCTTCCAGCTCCAAATTTATGATCCCATGATAAGTTGTTAAGGATATTTGTATCTTGAAATTGATTTTTAAAATATAAATAGTATTGAATAAGTTTTGTTGTTTAGAGTTCATTATAAATTATTTAATAAAAATATGCCTTTGTTGCCTTTCTGAAAATATGACAGTATGCTAATGAGAGATGGGTATATATGTTAGTTTTAGAATTCACAGTAACACAGTGCCTCACACAAGTGAAAAAAAATCCCCCAAAAGCTGGGTTAAATATATATGAAGAGAAATTAGACCAAAAATAATTAAAGAAAGAATTAAAGGTTTTTGGGAGGTAGTTTGAGGATTCTTGGTTAGGGATGTATTGGGATATAAATCATTTGATAGCTTTTAGAAATGCTAATGAGAGCAAAACTATTTACCTGGGTATTTATGCCTGCTCAATTCTGTATCAGATCTGTAGAACATATATGAAGGAATATGAAATAGAGAGAAGCTATGAAAACAGGCCTTTCTTCATTTTCATTCATTGCAATGTTCAACAAATAATTGAGTGCTTACTCCTTTCAGAAGGTCACAGAAAATTGTCCTCTCCTACCCAAAGTAACATTCGATTTTATGGACATGAAATGTAGCTTCCTCACAGGCAGAGATTTTTCTTTTGACCTTTGCATCCCTAGTAGTAGTAGCACAATGATCGGTACATGGTAGTTACTTAATAAATACTTCTTGAATTGCTTAGCTTTTTATGGAGGCGAAAACACAGATTTCTGCCTGTGGATAAGAAAACACAACTTATTTTTTCAGCGTGTTTGGAGGAAATTTGCAAATCCCTGAGAAGTAAAGATCTTATTAATGTGCACTGCTGTCCTTTTTTGAAAAACTTGTATTGAGAATGTGGGTAAACATCAATTTGTTTAAAACAGTATTTTCAGTCTCATCTCTTTGAGGATACGGTTGTCTGCTGGAGGACATCTTTATACCTAATTTTTTAAGAGGGAGAAAAAACCCCCTAACTCTGCCTTTCTGCTTGGAAAGTGGGGAGTGTCACATCTCATTATAGTCACCAAAGAGTTTTCTTTGATATAATAACATTCCCAAATGTCAGAAGTAATTTAGGTTTTATAAGGGGTCTTAGAGGTAAAGAGTTTGATTTCAAAACTACTGGCTTAAAAGGGAAAGAAATGAAAAGGATAACAGCATAATGATAGTGGAGACTTCCACAGAACTCTATGCCACAGATTTGAAGAGATGTTTCAGAGTTCATCATTACCTTTTATTTATATGCTTGTCTTTCATATCCATGAATATCATCAGCTTTTAAAGGAATTCATTTTCAGTGATCACCTATTTAGTTAGTTAAGAGAATCTAGTTCTGTGCATGAAGAAGTAATGCTTAGAACTTTGACTTTCAGGTTACCATCCATCAGTAAACCTAGGAGGAACTGTCAATGAAGGGCACTTATTAACTAATTTTGTAAGAATTAACCCCCCCCAAACCGTTGGTTATAGAAAACTTTCTTATCTAGATAATTTCCTTCTTAAATTTGGTGGAAAATGATTTTCAGTTTCTGAGAAATGTATGGGAGATGGGGTTCAGAGTAGTTCATTGGGCAGAGATTTCTTTTTTTGCCTGATTTCTATTGTGGCTTTTGGTTAGGTGTTTAAGCCATTTTTTACTGTTTGAAAATTAGGCACAGGAGATCACCAGTTCCTCAAAGAAGAAGACAAAGTATGTTAACTTGTATACAACAGAGGGACAGGACAGGTTGGCTGTCCTCCTTCCAGGACGACACCCTTGTGATTGTCTGGCCCAGAAGCACAAACTCATCAACAACTGTCTGATCTGCGGGCGGATTGTCTGTGAACAGGAGGGTTCTGGACCCTGTTTGTTCTGTGGATCTCTGGTAAATATTTCCTTGCAACTTTGGTTTTGTTGAGCCATATGTGTATCGTTATGGCTAATTTTTCCTAGAGAGTCTCTCTCTCTCTCTCTCTCTGTGTCTCTCAGTTTCTCTGTCTCTGTCTCTTTCTCTGTCCCTCTCCCCCTCCTATGTGCTCTTCTGTCCAACCAATTCTAAAATGTCTTAGAATATAGCAAGGACTTGATTGGTCCAGTTCCTCTAGTTTTTTATCCTAATGCTGATGCTGATAATTTGCAAGCTTTTCAAGCAACAGATTATCCAAAGATCAGAGTCTGTATCAAATTCTTTTATAGTTGGAGAACTTTACAGCAATAGAAGTGGGAACATTGTTTGTTGCAGTTCTCAGATATTAACCATTCTTTTTCCTAAAGGAGTAGTCACATTGGTGTCATGATGATGTAGTCTTAAGAGCACTATAGCCACTGCCTCCCTGGGAAGTTCAGTAATACGACTTTGAAATGTTTGTCAGCTGTTTCTGGGAGAATGACCTCAGGAACGTGGAACTAATGGCTTTCTTACAAAGGCGCTAACAAGGAGCTGAAGGGCAATGCCTATTGATCTGCTATTCCTGCTGGTGGGTGGCAGCTGTGGCATATGGCATCATTGAGGAGAACATGCATTAAGATAGGTTTGTTTTCCTTTCCTCCTATTTTCCATTATTTCCTGGAGAACAAACCTATATCCAGTCATTCATTGGAAAAATATAGTGTCTACCAATAAAATTCTTTATGAAATGTTACTAAGTCTCTTCCCATGTGGACTTTTCACTCTCTAGAGAAACACCCTGCGGCTTCTGGCAGGAGCTTTGTGTGCAGGGGAGGCAGCTGCCGGGAAGTACATTGTTTACTGATAGGTCCCACGGATCTCCTAGTTCAGGAAGCAGGATAATGTAAAGCAGATTTGCCTGATTCCTTGCAGCTTTTTACAAGTTCAACATAGAATTTTGTTTTTTAGCTAAGCCTTTCTCAGCCTTTCTTATTACAGTTACAGTGCATTTGTAATAAACACAGCTTTTCGTTTGGCTTGATCAATCCAAATTTTTTTTAAGTAGGATGCCTGAAGGCAAAGAATCTCGTGTGATTTTTTTTTTCCTTGGTGGAGATAACATGGTGTAGTAGAAAGAGAACTGGATTTAGAGTTAGGAGACACCTCGGTCTTTGTCTTTCCTCTAGTACTTACTTCCTATGTGACCATGGTCAAGTTATTAAACTCTTTGAATTGCAATTTCCTTTTTTATAAAATGGGGATGCTACCCTGTAGTACTTACATCCCAGGGCTGTTGAAAGGATCAAATGAGATAACATATACAGTGCCTTGCAAATTTTAGAGTACCATATACATTTTTACTAATGCAGCTTTTATGACTGGCCCTGTTACTTGATTCTGTTCTTCTTTCAAGACCTCAGGACCTTATCCTGGTTCATTTATAGGACTGACTTAAAAGCCACTCTTTAAAATTGGAAGCTTCAAAGTTAGATGTATGAGTTGTCACTAACTACATAAGCTAATGTCCTTTTTTAAAGAAAAGAACAACAAAAATTGTATAACCAAATCAATGTTAGGTTTCCTTAAATTTAGCTATTTTGGTAGAACTTATTGCAACATTACTGCCTTTGCTCAGAGCATTTCTTGGATTTAATCTTTTGGTATTGCGTTCAGAGCCTATGGCACATTGTTTTTTAATATCTTCAGTGATCAGAAAGCTTAATATTTGCAGGGTGAATTTGTTTTGTTTTTAGAATTAAAAGTCACTTGACCTTTGGTCTGTTGAGTAAGTTTGATGATCAAGTGGATATTGCTGTTTTGATCTTAAATGGTGTGTGGCTGTATGGCCACGAGATTAATTTTCTTGCATGGTTCACACATCGTGAAAACATCATTGATATAAGCACATAGCTCCCAGTGTTACTATTTCAAAGGGAAAGAAGTCATTTGAATGTATAAATTGTGGAACATACATTTTTAATTATCGTCTTCTGTGTAGTTTAAGGTTAGTTATTTAGTGTAACAGGAAAATAGCAGGGGCAGCTAGGTGGCATAGTGGATAGAGCACCAGTCCTGGATTCAGGAGGACTTGAGTTCAAATCCGGCCTCAGACCCATAACGCTTACTAGCTGTGTGACCCTGGGCAAATCACTTAACCCCATTGCCTACCAAAAAAAAAATAGCAAAAGTTCATTAAATTGTCTATCTCTGTTACCATGTTTTTATGCTGTAGGTGTGTACTCGAGAAGAACAGGACATTCTGCAGCGTGATTCAAACAAGAGCCAAAAGCTTCTGAAGAAGCTCATGGCAGGTTGGCAGTCATCTTTTGATAGCTCTGGTGAAGGATGAATCTTGTATCATTGTCCATTTGGTGCATCCAGGTGTGCAGGATGGGACTGAACTATTTTTGTGATTCACAAGTTGTTCATTCACTCATCCATTCAGCATACTTAATTGAACAGCTACCTTGTACAGGCCAGCACCATGAGCACACTGTCTTTACTGCTCTTCTAGCCTCTTTGCTTTTACCCAAAGCATAATGGCATTGTCAAAGATGAAAAATCCTTTTAGGAGAGAGAACTAGTCGGACTTTGTGCAAGCTTGGAGTATAAAGGGAAGGGAAAGATGTTGGTTTTTGTTGTAGCAAATGCCTTTTCTTTCCCTCCACATACCTTTTTGAATCTTAGTCTTATTGGGACAAATGATATCCTTTGGGGAAGTGCATATTTGTGGTATTTTCTTCTGACACTGACCCGCACCCACTTCTTCTATTATTCATTATTCTTTTCAAAAAACAAAAGTGAAATATTTAACAAAATTTCAATGTAATTATATGATATTCAACTCGCAACTTTGCATTTCCATGTTGTTAAATTGTTTAGTATCCTCTTGATCTTCATGCCTTTAAGAGAAGAGTTCATAAAGCTTGGTTTAATTTATGGCTTTTTTTTCAATGGAGCGAATTCTTTTGGAAATTTAGAAGAGATCAGGATCCATTGGTGTCTTGCTGTGGGGTGAACTGGGATGATTGTTATTAAGTTTGGGTTGGTGATTGATACCGTTGCTTTCCTTGTTGCCTTACAGGAATGGAGAATTCTGGTAAGGTTGATGTATTCAACAAGGATCTGCTTCCTCATCAAGAATCTCGGATTAAGACTGGTCTGGAGAAGGCTGTAAAGCATAAAGACAAGTTGCTAGAGTTTGACAGAACCAGGTATGATTTTTGGTGGAATAGCTGATATTGGAGAATAAACAGAAGCAAACTGATGCTGGCTGTCTTTGAGTACAAATATCTCATGGAATAAGATCATTTAGCAAATAACTGACTGGCTATAGATTGTGAAACAGTTTTCATTAGACTGGAGTTGGGCACATGCATACATAGATAGTTGATATTTTATTTCTGACTCATATTGATGTAGTGTAGACCTTCAACCAGGTGAAGGAGACTCTTTTGTCCTTTTACCTTTTTTATTATTCACAAGTGTTCCTGAAAGAAGACAGATTATACTGATAATTTGGAGTTGATTGTATTTTATCCTAGTGAAGCAAACAGAATTTCCCAAGTTGTTTCACTTCTAAACTAACACAGAGTGACCAAACTCTGTGAGACCTTGACATATTGGAAAAAAGCAGTGCCCTGAGAAGTCATGAATCCTTGGTGGAATCTTGGTCTCTGATTCAGTATTAAAAAGATCAGATTGTACAAAGATTGGCTTCTTGACTCCTACGCTGTTATTTGGCCCCCTGACAGTTCTCATGATTTCTCCTTGGAGACAGATTTTTGAATTTTCTAGTTTTGTTGTTGATTTCTGCTTTTCTCTCTTACTTTTGGCCAAGTGCTTATTTTAAACAGAGTTGATAGTAGAGAATGCTTCAGAGTGTACCCTTCCCCCTTCGGGCAGCCAACCCACTAGAACCTATCTGTTAGAGTCACTTGCACTGCTCCCTGAGCAAATCTTTCCTGGGTCTCTTCCTGGTCCTACCTAGTAGTCTCTTGCCAGCAGTGTCTTCTTTGCAATGAAGCATTGGCCATCTGAAAACTTCAGCTCAGATTCAGAGCCATCTGTCAAAAATACCAGAGAAATAACCAGAAAAAACATCTTTACTATAAATAGAGTGAACACTATTCCCTCTGGCTTCAAAGTCCATTATGGGAATAATATTAAATTTTTTGTTTAGTCTTTTATGGAGAACTATTATCATGTTTATGTTCCATACTTACTATCATCTTTTATTAGGATTGCAACTGTCAGATTTAGTTTTACTCATTGACAGTATTTACTCATTTATTCATTGACAGTATAATTCAGTGCTGTGTGAGATATGTATTTCCTGAGAAGTAGGGACCAAGAAAAGTTTCTTGCTACTGATGTTGCTGTTACACTGTCCTGTGCAAAAGGACTTAGGTAGCTCCAGGTGTGGACCTTTACCAGAAAGGGGCCCTGGCTGGCTTTAGTCTTTATTTTTATGGGGAGATTAAGAAATTGTGAATGAGTCAAAAGGAACAAAGCTGCACAATTTTTAGAAGTATAGGTTTTCTTCTGATAGCTTCTGAAAATTCATTTCCAGATTTTAGATCTGGGAAGGAGGATGGAAAGTATATCATGGACATCCCTAACACACACATACTCAGTTTGGGAAGTATTCCCTTAAAGTTTAAATTTTTTAGGCTTCCAATTTTGTAGTGATGATATTTCTGCTAAATCTGCATATATCACTAAGTTATTCTACTCTAGCTAGTTCTGTAACATTAGCCAAGTCACTTTACCTCTCAGTTTCTTCATCTGTAAAATGTAAATGTTCTATAAGGTCCTTTCTAGCTCCAAAAATTTCTGACACCATCACCTTAAAGAAGAGCTTTTGTTTTTGTTTTTGTTTTAGTATTTAGGTAATTACACTTCAAGTTGTCATGCTGGGATGTCATAGTGTATCATGAGTGATGGTAATAAATGAGTTACTTTGGACAGTTCCCAGAAAAATCATATCCTTTTTGATAACATGCTCATAGTGCCACATGCTCTCTCTTGCCTTAGTGTTCGAAGGACTCAAGTCATTGATGATGAATCAGACTACTTTGCCACAGATTCCAACCAATGGCTATCCAAGGTGGAGCGGGAAGCTCTGCAGAAGAAGGAGCAGGAACTTCGAGAGCTGCGCCATGCCTCACGTCTCTCTAAGAAGATTACCATTGACTTTGCAGGAAGGCAGATTCTAGAAGAGCAAAACTCCCTTACAGACTACCACAATAAGTGAGTGGGCAACTCAGAGAAAGGTTTGAGAGACATGACTGATCTGACCAGTCATATTTTATTGTAGCTGAAAGCTTTTTGGTAATCAGGACATTTTTTTAAGCACCCACTAGAATACAGAGAAGAATGTCGTTTCTTTTTATAGTCTAGTTGGAAAGACAGAGTATAAGTTATTTGATGACAAAGCAATAAAAGTAGTTGCACAAACCATACTCTTTTGCATGTTTCATTACTTTATAATTGTATCTTCATATATGTGTACATATATGTGTATATGTATATATATACATATAGTACGTATTTGTTACTTTATAATGGCATATATGATGACATATATAAATGATATATATAATGACATGTATAAAAGATTTATATCTACATATATAGATGACTATATGTATATGTAGATATAGATATCAATATAGATGTCTAACAGTACAAGGTATAAATATCATGTTAGTGGTATAGGCAGGGAAGGAGGAGTAGCTGTGGGCTGGGAATATCTGGAAAGGCTTCATGGAGATTTGAAGTCAGTGAGTTTTGGATTCAGATCTCTGAAGTAGTGGGATGACTTTCCTAGAAGGTGTAATTGAGTGAAAAGGCATGTTGGCTTCTTCGGACAAATAAACTAGTTTGCCTAGAGTGGCATATTCTTTGGAATCCAGATACCCTTCTTCTTATTTTATCATTGAGAATAATTATCTTTCCGCTCATTCAAATGGGTACTTGTGGAATGCCCTTTTTAATTTTTTTTATACTGTCCCTAGATTTGTATGTAACTGAGATTGACTAGGGACTGTGGAGATATGGGTTGAAAAGTGGAAGAAAAGAAGATAGATGGTTCCTAGAAGTCTAGATTTCACTGTTAAAGGTTGTATATTGATTGATGACTAAATTAGTAGGGAGAGACTGAGAATAGAGCTGAGGGATTGTGGACACCAGCTACAGTTAATAATTACCTAGCTCTTTTGATTTGTTATTACAGACTGGATGAGACAGTACAGGCTATTAACTCAGGAGCCTTGAGTAAGTCTCTAACAAAACTAGAAGGATCACCTGAAAAGCCTTTGGGAGTTCTAGTGAATCCGCATCTGCTCCAGCCTGCACCCTTGGTGAGTACATGTCTCAGCTGGCTGCTAATGAGAGAGGGTTGGACTCAAATGTCCTTTTGATGTCAGGTGTTTTACTCTCATTGTTTGTGTATAGCTTTCTTCTCTTGCCCATCCTCCTCTGGGCTTGTCTTGTGGTTCTGGATGCCTCGTTTATATTTATCATCTCAGTTTCCCTGAGGAGAAGTGGGTCTTATTAATCTCAATAGAGATATGAGTAACTATGCTTCAGTTTTTTCTTTGATGTGTGTATGTCTTTGATATCTTTGTATGAAGCTCTTTCTGAATCCCTCCAACTGCCCTCCCTCCTGAACTATCTTTTGTTTAAATACTTTGTATATATTTATATTTATTCACTTTTTATTTATATTTTATATGTTTTTATATGTACTTCATGTCTCCTTCATTAGAATGTAAACTCTTTGAGTGTGGGGATTGTTTTATTCTTTGTCCTTGTTTCCCTGTGCCTAGTGCAGTTCCTGGCACATAAGAAGGGTTTATCGATTGCTTGATCAATAGAGAGCTGGCCTGGAAACCATAAAATCCTGAGTTACCACTGATAGATACTGACTGTGTCACCCTGGGCTAGTCACTTAACTTCTCAGTGCCCCAGACAACTTGAAGTTGTAGAAGGAAGGCACTGACTTACACTGGGAGAGGGAGTCCTCTTACTTGGTAGTTTCCTTTACCAGTGAATTCTAGGTCTTTTTTCTGTCTAGACTTACTGTTGGTCTCAGCACATGTTTGGCATTGCAGGAGATTTTTTTTTTAAATAACTTTTTACCTATGAGACCAGATGGTTAGCTGCTGCATTTTTCTTTGGTTTTAGCACGTACAGTGTATGTGTGTGGCTCTTTTTGTATAGGAAGTGACATGTGGGCCAGAATATTGAATCTTCATTTAGGTGGTTTAGTTTTGGGGGAAATTGCTCAGAACCCAGCAGTCTTATTGTTGTGATATATAGGAAATGGAAATGGTTCCAGCAATCCTGATCTTCATACAGATGTGCTATTCTTTAGAGGCAGGGGGGGGCCTAGGGCAGGGGCTTTAGGGGAATAATTTTAAAATTCTAAACTTAATAACCATTAACAAATGTAAGCATTCAATCAAAAATTTTAAATCATGCATAAAGCCATAAATCCCAAACTATTAACAGTTTTTAAAAATTATGATTTTGTAAAAGTTTGTGCATCTTTCTAAACTCTTTTGTATTTTTGCCTGAATTTTGGCTATTATATTCATATTTGTAATTTTTAATGTGTAATAATATTTTATCTTCTCAATTATACCACTGTTTATTCATCCATTTTCCTAGTTTAGCCATCATTGTGTCAAAAGTTATAATCAGATTTGTAAATTTTCTTGTATGTTGCCATATTGCTTTCTGAAGGGATTGCTTTAACCCCTATAAATTGCTCCAGCAGCTGACGCAGACACTTGCATAAAGTATACTACCTTTAAAAATGAAAAGGGAATGATGGGCTATTAGATCAGACTCTTGTATTTGCATTATGTATATACCATCTCCATCTTATCTTCATTAGGCAAAAATAAGATACAAATTTCTAGGAATTATTCCTAGTATGATCCCTTTTATTATTAGAGTTGAGACTTGGTTGGTAGTTTCCATGGCAAGTATTCCGGTTTTTTTTTTTTTAATTTTTTTTTTTTGCAAGGTGATTGGAGTTAAGTGACTTTCCCAGGTTTACACAGCTAGTGAGTATCATGTATCTGAGGCCCGATTTGAATTCAGGTCCTCCTGACTCCAGGGCCAGTACTCTATTCAGTGCACCAGCTAGCTGCCCCAGGTATCCAGTTTTTTATTAATTTTTGACCCATGTAAAGATCATCAGAGGCCACCCCACCTCCAGCTACTAACTTAAACCTTACACTTTCACTTTTTTTTTTGATAGTGGGTAGACCAGACAAGCTCGGCCCCACAGAAGAAGACTCATCTTTCAGCAGGTTCTAATCTGGAGCTCAGCTCAGAGAGGAGCCGTCTTCGAATTCAGGACCGAGAATTTCAGGAAATCTCTGATGATGGTTGGTGCCTTAGCATGCACCAGCCCTGGGCCTCATTTCTTGTCAGGGGCATTAAAAGGTAATATGGCATCCAGGAAAAAGTAATCATGGTATTGAACTTGGTTGAGAGCTACCTTTCTGCTGTCAGCCTATTAGTGATCCCCAGTAGTGTCCATTACATAATTCCTTTGGAGGGACTCCAATTCCTGTACTGACTGTGTTAACCAAAAAATGGGATGATTTCTAGATACTGCTCTCTATGTTTTTCAGACAGAGAAACTGAAACCCACAGAGGTAATTCTGCCAGTGGAAGGACATGGAGTACAATCCCTTTCTATCCTGGCATAAAAATCCTACTTTTCTTAACTTTGCTTTTGTAATCTGTAATACAGCACCCTATGCACTTGTTCCTGTCACTTCAGCTTTCAGGTTTGTTTTTCCCCTCAAGAAATTGACCTGGGGCAGGTAGGTGGTGAATTGGATACAGCATTAGCCCTGGAGTCAGGAGGACATGCGTTCAGATCCAGCCTCAGACCAAAACACTTGACACTTACTAGCTGTGTGACCTGGGCAAGTCACTTAACGCCATTGCCTAGCCCCCCCCAAAAAAAAGAGAGAGAGAGAAATTGACCCAATTTTGTGTATTTTTCTATTTTTTGCTTTAATCAAAATGAGGGGAAAATCAGCTTTGGAATATCTTAAAAAAAAAGCTGTGCTTTGGGGGAGGTATTACAGAATGAGGGTCTATCATCATAGAATTTAGAATTGGAATGGAACTAAGTGGTCATTTAGGCCAGTGCTTTCATTTGATTAAGTGACTTGCCTACAGACTCCCCTTGATATTCCTGTTTTACTTTTTTCACCTGACTTCTGGCAGACCTAGTGGAAATTGATGTTTATTTTGACTTTACCCCAGTATTAGAGTCTGGTCATATTTCGCTTGTGAAGCTCTGGCTTCCTATACTATTATCTTAATAGTTAAGTGAAACACTTCATAATCATTATCTCATTCTTGCAAGAACCCTATGAGTTGTTTGGTCAGGTTGTTATTATACTCATTTGACAGTTGAAAAAACAGAAATGCAGAAATGAAATTACATATCCAGGATGACACAGCTAGTAAATGGCAGAGCTGGGACTATAGTTTAGTTCTCTTGATTCTTAATCCAGTGGATTTCTTTTTCCATTATGCTGCCTCAGCAATCCTTCCCAGAAAGTGAGAGTAATTAGTTTTTGCTCTGCTGGTCATAAGACAAGAGTAAAACGTAATGGTTATGATTCCCTTGCCAAGTTAGGGTATAGTGTCCCTGTTACCCTTACCCTAACCTCTTTAGATATCTCGTGTCTGGAGGTACATTTGACTAAAAGTTTCATCTTTCCTTTGCATTGTGATAGGGACTAGTGAGCCTACATCTTCTTTCCAGACTGACTAGGCCCTCAGAAGTCTGTTTTACACATTTCATACTCTGGAACGTGGGTGTCTTCCTTTCCCAGTGTAAATAACAGAACAGCTTGTTCTTTGCTGTAGAAGGCAGAATGTTTACGTTGCATTCTATTTTGGATTTAATTCAGCCATTTTTTACAACTGAAAAGAACAGAACAAGCAGCACCCAATGCCACAATTACTAATACCACAGAAATAAAACTGATGACTCTGGCCATGTTTGTGGAGAGTAGTATAGTCCTTGAGAACTTTCAGGCCTGGAGGGCACAGCCTTTGACTCTATTTGGCATTCATAACAGAAACACAAAAACTTTATTAATAGCAGAAAGCCAAAAACATTATACACATCCTAATCCTAATAGTATCAAATAATAGTTTGGGCGGTACTGTCAGAAATATTGTATTCCCTTTGGTTAAAGTGAAGGAGAAACAATTCAAAAATATTTGAATATGAATGGGATAGGAAATGAGTACTTTCTTTTTTCTCTTCCTATAGGAGAATATTTTCATATTAATAAAATTTTTTAAATGTCCACAGGAATTGTAGCACTGTAATAGAATTGATATTATATTTATGGTTACATTTTATAAGAGCAGATAAGAAAAAATATCTAAATAAAATAATGACAAAAATACATGGAGGTGGAGGGAATTTGATTTGGATCAGGAGTTTTTCAGGAAAGTTAGAGAAGTAGTTAGAAAAACTTCTAGTTGGAGATGAACCTTTTATTATTTAAAGAAGAGCAAAAGATTTTTGTATAAATTTCTCTTATAAAGTTTTGTTATCTAAAATAATATACACACATATATACACACACGTGTGTGTATGTGTGTGTGTGTGTGTGTGTGTGTGTGTGTGTGTGTGTGTGTGAACAAAAGCCATTTCCCAAAGGGTAAATGGGTCAAAGGACTTGAAGAAACAGCTTTCAAAAGAATTGTAAACTGTTAACAACCACATGAAAGAATGCTCCAAATTACTACTAATAAGAGAAATGCAAGTTAGAACAACCCTGAGATTGTACCTCACAATCTGCAAATTGGCAAAGATGATAAAAGATGGAAATGGTCACTGTTAGAGGGGTTGTGGGAAGATAAGCATTCTAGTACATTATTGGTAGAGTTTTGAATCAATACAACTATTTTGGGAAGCAGTTTGGAACAACGACTAAAATGTCCATCCCCTTTAGCTCAGTGATTTATTATTAGGCTTATTCCTCAAGAAGGCCATAGATAAGAAGTTGCCATATACACCAAAATATTTATAGCAGCACTTTTTGTGATAGCAAAGAATTAAAAACAAGGTAGATGCCCATCAGTTGGGAAATGGCTAAACAAACTGTGGTATGTGCATGTAATGGAATATTTTTGTGCTGTAAGAAATGTGTATGATGAATATAGATAATCATGGTAAGATCTGTATGAACTGATGCAGAGCAAAGCTGAGCTGAGCCAAAAAAACGTTATGCACAGTGAGTACAGTAGTGTAAGTTGTTGTATGGAAAGAACCCCCACAAAGTAATCAAAAGTGAATGTTGCAAAACAAACAAACAAACAAACAAGCCTGACTTGAAAGAAGAGATAAGAACCCACACTTCCACTATACCCTGTTGCACAGGTTCAGGGGTCACTGGTGTGGTACATTGCATGTATTTTCATACTTTTTTGATGTATTTATTAGTTTTCTGACGTTCCCTCTTTTTCTTTTCTTGTCTATAAAAAAGATGATTTGTTATATGGGATGCCTCTCTGGGAGGGAGGAGGAGGAAAGATACTTGAGGAAATATGGCTATGTGAAAAAACCTTTAAGTTTTTTTTTTACATCTTTAAGACATAAAAAAACCCAAAAGACAAAACACACGAAAAAGAGGAAGGATGCAATATGCAAGAAGATGGACTTTTATTTTGTGCACAGTGGAAGATTTGGGTTAGGGTTATAGATGTCTTGAAGACTCTATGTCATTTGGAACAGGATGAAGAAACGATGTTACCTGTGAAAGAAGTCTTTTTTATGGGCAATATGAGAAACCATGAGAACAAATGAGAACAAGAGTGAATTGTGGAATAAGAATGTATTCACAAAATATACCTGTTATAAGATTTGTGTGCCAGGATTTTAGTCTCGATTCAAGACTTCGTAGAGGCCTCCAGTTGAGCAAATATTGCTCAAATTAGATAATCTTTATTCAAGACTGGTGCAATCCCCATAGAACTGGAAATTAGTTCTTTTCTGCCCAATTTTTATCCCATTTAGGGTGGAGGGTAGAACCTGGTACACATCTCACAGAGGAAGACTATGGATAGCTGCAACTGCCAAAAGACCTTCCTCTCAAGAAATCTCAGAACTACAGGATACATATCGCCTTCTTCTTGGAAAAGGTAACTTCCTCCTTTTGTGTGAATGTCTTGGAGATGGATATTATTAGCTAAAATTGAGTTAGCTGTTTCACTTTATTTTCAGTTTACTTTTATTTGTTTCCATTGTTTCCTTTCTGGGTGGAAGGAAAGTTTATCTACAGACAGTCTTTTCTTTGGGGCAGGTCAAGATCAACTGTTTTATGAGTTAGATTATCAAATAATATACTTTAAAGTGTTCCTGGGGCAGCTAGGTGGCACAGTGGATAGAATACTAGCCCTGGAGTCAGGAGGACCTGAGTTCAATTGCAGCCTCAGACACATAATACTCACTAGCTGTGTGACTCTGGGCAAGTCACTTAACCCCAATTGCCTCACCAAAAATAATAATAATAATAATAATAAACAACAACAACAACAACAACAACAACAACAATAATAATAAAAATATATAAATAAAGTGTTCCCTTTGAACACCAGAAATAAATATTAGTCTTGGTTATCTGTGAGTGTCCTTTTGGTGTGTGCGAAAGCTGATAATCCTAACTTTCACATGTAAAAGTAAAACATCTGTTGGGAACTCTACAATCCTTTGGACTGGAAAGATCTGCCTCAAATATGCAAAGTTAGTTGGCATATATAGTAGATAACAAGTGAAAATCTCTAAACATTGTAGATTTGGGCTCTGGAAAATGTCATTGAGATCTTTTGGACTCTTTTTTCCTTAATACTTCCCACTTCATGTGGTCGTCATAAAAAAAAAAAAGAGGTAAGAGCTGCACTATATCTATATGTCTGTGATATCATCAATGTGAGTACTTTCTGAAGTGGTATGAAGAACAATCCATTCATGCCCTCTCCTACATGAATCTCGACTGTATCATCTTATAGAGCCTTCACAAGAGGTCCAAACAGTAAGCTGGGGTCTTTTTAGTTCTCTTGATAATGAAGCATAAGAGCTATCCCTTGGTTATCCCTCACTCTTATTCATGATTGGCTGCCCTTTTCTACACGTATAGCTCTCTGATGACATCTTTAAATTTTGTTTTATTTTAACATAGGGGCAGCTAGGTGGCACAGTGGTAGCAGTCCTGGAATCTGGAGGACCTGAATTCAGATTTGGCCTCAGACACTTACTATCTTTGTGACCCTGGGCAAGTCACTTAACCCCAATTGCCTCCCTCTTTCTCCCAACCAAAAAAAACACATGCACACCAAAAATAACATAGGGATGGCTAGGTGATGTGGTAGATAGAGTGCTGGACCTAGAGTCAAGAAGACCTTAGGTAAAATTTGGCTTCAGAAACTTACTAGCTATGTGACCCTGGGCAAGTCATTTAACCTTTGTTTGCCTCAGTAAAATGCAAATAATAAGAGCTTCCCTGAATTGTTGTGAAGATCAAATGACATAATTGTAAAGCTCTTAGCATCGTAAGCACTGTTTATTTATTTATTTTTTGGTTAGGCTGTGGGGTTAAGAGACTTGCCCAGGGTCACACAGTTAGTAAGTGTTATGTGTCTGAGGCCGGATTTGAACTCAGGTCCTCCTGAATCCAAGGTCGGTGCTCTATCCACTGTGCCACCTAGCTGCCCCTCTAAGCACTGTTTAAAGGTTACCTATTATTAACATATGATAGATCTCTTCCATCTTTTTAGGTGGGAGCCTTTAAGATAGTAGTTTGTTATACTGAATCAAATGTAGGCTTATCATCACTAAAAAGTAAGCACTGTGGAATCTTGTTCCTTTATGTCTTTCAGTCTGTTGTGTGACTGTAAAGATGTGATTGACTGTGTAACAACATTTACAGAAATCTACTTTTTCCCTTCTCATACCTTTATCAATGATGCCCTTGATGCATGTACAGATTATTCTTATGAAAAATTTGTAAATATGGGTAAGTGGGCATTTGAGTTGATATTTATGTTTTCTCAGACACCTTTTTTGTTTCACAGGTCTATAATTTTTTCCAAGACTTTTGTATCCTCTGCTCTTTCTTTCTTTTTTTTTTCTTCTTGAAGGCAATTGAGGTTAAGTAACTTGCCCAGGGTCACACAGCTAGTAAGTGTCAAGTGTTTGGTCTGAGACCATATTTGAACTCAGGTCCTTCTGACTTCAGGGCCGGTGCTCCATCCACTGCGCCACCTAGCTGCCCCTGTTTTTTCTGATACCTTGAGAATCTGTCCCTTAGTGCCTTAAAAATTGTGTCACCTCACACACAAACTTTCAACAATCGTTCTACCCATCTTTGTTTTCTTTAGTGGTATTTCTGTTTCCTCCTTTGACATATCAAATATTCTGATGTTTGCCATAAGAATCCTTAAATTTATTTTTCCTGTTGCTGTCCTTAAAATTTCATCCTTAAATGCCGTTGGAATGGACATAATTGAGTCTTACACCAAGCTTTCTGAAAACTTATTTTTTCCTATAATACCTGTTTTATGAGGTCATGATGTCCCTTATCTACTGTCCTCCTATATAAGAGCTTACACATGAGTTCATGTTCTATATGGAAGTTCCCCCTGGCTGCCATGTCTTTTTTCTTGCTGGGAGATATAAGGGTTTGCTAGGTAAGGCCATTTCTGTACTTTTTTGGCCTTGTGATGATTGAGTTAAATCAATTAAATGTCCTTAAGGAAGGGTACTAGCCTATGTCGATATTTGTTCTTTCATCTAGTTCTCATTTTTGGCAGCAGCGGCTCATTTAAACAGGTCAGTTGTATGCCATAGCTTCTCATTTGTATTCTAGTCTGGTATTGATTTTGGTCTTTACTCTCATAAGTCAGTGGCCTCTTTGTACACAAAATAGTTGATTTGAAAATTACTTCTGTATTTCTAACCAACCATTTCCTTGCCATTAAAAAGTAATTAACTTCATTTTTTATTATGTTAATTGATGTTCATCACATCTTATGCCCTAACTCTTCTGAAAGAAAGTATGAGATTTCTGTCTAATCTATGACCTTAGTCTACCAATTTTTGCCCCTCCCATTTTTTACTCCTGAGTTATGTTTTTCACCTTCTTCTGCTGAGGTCACCTTTGCTTTAAAGTCATGGAGTATTAAAGTATATATTGACCTAATTTGGAGGGTCTTATTAAGTAATTTTAGAATTGCTCTGCAATCTTCTTTGCAACAGACATTGATGCATATGTTGCACTTATTTTCATGGTGATCACCTTGCTGATTCTTCTCATGAGTACTGCCATATGAAGTCACTAAGTAACCCAGGAAATGATGCTTCTTGTTGCTCTAGAATGTACAACAAAGGCAACTCCATCACTTGATTCTCCCAGGTTGAAACTCTGATCCATCCTTTCATGTAAATGCAACTTCCTTTTATCTTCTGGTTTCACTTATAGTAAAAATATCATGATTGATATGACTCCATCCTTTCTTTAATGTATCCACTCATTGGTCATTTGAAAAAGGTCTCATATTTAGATTATCAGTAGCTAAATTGTAGAAGGTCTAAATGTGGTGGGAATGTAGGTGTTTGCCTTTCTGCCTTTTTTTGTTGAAGAAGCAGAAAGAGATCCAGGACTAAGCTGAAAAACAGGTTTAAAAATCAAAAGAGGCAGAGTTATACAGAAATCTATGCCTCCCTACAGGAAAATAGAAGAGGAAGGGAATAAGAGAAGTGGGGGGCGTGGAGATAGAAGGAGAGCAGATTAGGGGAAAGGGTATTCAGGGTGCATGCTGCCTTGAGGTTGGGGGAGGGACAAGATGGGGAGAAAATTTGGAACTCAAAATCTTGTGGAGGTGAATGTTGAAAACTAAAATTAAATAAATTAATGAATCTTAAAAAAAAAGAGTTAAAGTTGTGCTGTAACAATATTTCTGTACTTAAGGCCTCACCAAAAATCAATAGAAAGCATATACTTCCTTCAAAGGATAGGTCCAATTGGGCTGTTATAATTCGTAATTTTTTAAACATCTGTAATTTGACTTTTTATGGTTTCTCTCTCCAGAAAAATAATTTTTCTCTTAATACCTGTGGCAGCTGCCTTTCTTTATTGCCAGATCTCCAGTTGTCCTAAGGACCATACATACAGCGTGAACCACAGGCCAAATGCAATCTGCCTGAGATTTTTAGTGAAAAAATTCCATCTACTTAGCTAGCATGAATGCACTTAGTAGACTAGTAGTTCGTAATAACCTGGAATGTCTGGCACTATCCAAACTCTGTGTTCAATATTTGAGCTTCTTTCTCTCATTTTCTTTCACAAAATTGCCAAAATCAAGACTGTGAGCCACCATCAATAAGCCGAGAGTCAAAATTTAGATGTACTTTGTTTGACACAGTATACCTGGCAGTATGCAGGAATAGTTTAACCTACTAAATTTCATTATTTTCATTGAGTTGATCAGAACTGGTCAATGACTAGCACTCGCTATGAACTTTTATATGAATAAAGTTGATGAAAAAGTTTTGGACTGCTTTTATGTTAGTGCTAAAGCACTCATGTTTTTGCATAGCTTTGCAACTATATTTCACCATTGTTATCAATAAAAAAATTAATATCGGCTGCACAAATTGATTTCTGATCATGTGGCCCATTACTAAAAAAATTTGGATGTCTCTGATCAAGTGAAATTCAACAAGTTTTAAATGCTGAAGATGAGACTGTGGGACAATAAAACGTAACCTGCTTGAGGCTGAGGATTTTGTCATCTTCATAATAGGTAAATTGTTAAATATTTGTTATTACTGGGTTAGTGGAGGGTCAGCAGAGCCTAGGACCACTGGAATGTGAGACTAAACAGTTCGTGAGACAATAGGATTGTAAGGAGAAATATTGATGTGGAAAGACAAGCACACTAATGTCCTCTTCGTGGAGCTGTGAATTGATCCAACCATTCTGAAAAGCAATTTGGAATTCTACTAAGAAAGTGATTAAATTGACTATATCCTTTGACCCAGTGCTCCACTGGCTTAGCCATATATTCTAGAGAGGTCAATAATAAGTAGAAAGGCCCCATATACAAGAAAATATTTATGGCAGCATTTTTGATAGTAATAAAGGGCTAGAAACAATTTAAGAATGGCTAAGGAATTTGTGATACATATATGTAAAAGAATAGTCCTGTTCTGTAGGCAGTATTGCCTGTAGAAGGCAACAAATATAAGGAACACAGAGAAGTATTGAAACACTTGTATTAGAATAACAGAACCATCCATTCGGAGCTGAAAGGGACCTTAAAAGCTATCAAATCCAACCTCCCACCATTTTTGCAGATGAGGAAATTAAGGTATAGTGACCAAGGGTAACACAGCTGAAGTAATACAAAGAGACATAGGGAGATCCAGCAAAACGGTGTACACAATGACTACAACAATGAAAACGGAAAGAACAACAGCAACAAGATGATAAAAAATGAATGCTGTGAGATTGTGATGACCAAGGCTTTCCCAAAGAAGACCTAGGAGAAGGCACTTCCCCTGTTTCTTTGTGGAGATGTGGGAAACTGTGGGCATGGAACACTGAACATTTTTTATATGTTGATTTTACTGAACATTTTTTCTCTTTTTTACTTTTTGTTGTAAGGGATAGCTGTCTGGGAAGGGGGAAGGGGAAAAATATTAAAATATGTAAGTAACATGAAAACGCAAGATATCAATGGAAACAAAAAATTGTGAGAGGAAAATCATTGCCAGCTCTGCTGGTGTTCTGGTACATAAAATTAAGAACTCACCAGATTTTCCTTAAAAAAAAAATTGTGCCAAATAAAAACCTCATCAAATTCCTTGACTCTTCACAGTAAGAAAATAATAACGGAAAAGTTTGTTGTTCAGTCATTTCAGTTGTGTCCAACTCTTCATGACTCTGTTTGGGGTTTTCTTGGCAAAGATACTGGACTGGTTTGCCATTTCCTTCTCCAGCTCATTTTACAGATGATCCTACTGAGGCAAAAATGGTTAAGTAACTTGCCCAGGGTCACAGAACTAGTCAGCATCTGAGGCCAGATTTGATCTCAGGAAGATGAGTGTTCCTGATTCCAGGCCTGGCACTCTATCCACACTGCCAATTTGCTGCCCATGGAAAAGTTATCCACTCATAATTTATAACAGGTTTCTGGAGGACACTGTCAGAGAAGAGGGAATTTTATATAAAGTTTTTGATATTTTTGATTCAGATTTGGAATTTCCCCGTGATTATCCATCAGGATGTCTCCTTGGTTGTGTGGACCTGAATGACTGCTTGCCTCAAGAGCAATTTAAGGAACAGGTGAGTGGGGGATACTTATGTGGGAAGATGTTTGATTTGTTTCCCTAAAAATGTGCTAGTGGAGCTTACTTGCAAATGCTTCATCACAGATTATCATTGGGATGGGAAAATGCAGCGTGGTGTAGTGAAAGGTGAAAAGAACACTAAATTTGGGGTCAGAGAACCTGGCTTAAATCTTGGGTGTTACTTACCTGTTTCCTTGACAAACCATTTCACCTCTTCAGAGCTTATTTTTATCTTCTCTGTAAAATGAGAAGAGGAAAAGAGAGGGCATGGTTGGGGGTGGATAGATAGTCAAAAGTCTATTCTCACTCAGTCTTATGATCCTAGATAATATCAACTGGAATTTAGAGAGATGTGGAGAAGCTTATGCGAAGGAGGTACCGGGGAATGAAAAAACAAGGCAAGAACTCAGAGAACTTTAACATGTGCCATTTTATTTCCTGGTACGCAGAAGGTCTATGTTATTGGCAAAAGGAACATTATTGATCTGTTCCTGGGGAAAAAAACCAAAATAAAACATTGCTGCCAAAATTATAGCAACAAATGTGGCAAGACTGCTTCCTCACCCCTTTAGAATCTGTCTTTAAAATTACTTTTCTTTCTGTTGGGAAGAAGTATCTGACTGTCAAATTGATTAACTAATTGGAAAATAAAATGTAATTGCTTATGCCCTTGGGGCAAGCAGTCCAAGCCAGAGGTGTATGTTTATGGCCAATATATTTTAAGGGTCAGCCTTAACTTTAACTTGGATGTTCTTGTGTCTCTGAAGTCTGACCTAACTAAATTAGGGCATTTGTGAACAGCAGAGGGAGCTGAAGACCTTTAGGATAAAATCTTAAAATCTAGAGTCTCAGTGTTTTATAAACTAACATTCTGGAAGAAATCCAAGGTGGGGAAGTTCATCCCTGGACCATGCTTTAAGTGCTTTCCTCACAGTCTAGCTTTCTGGATATAGCTGTAGAGCTTCTATTATCACATATAAAGAAACAGTCTTTAGCTGAAAATTCTCAGTGGAACTTTTTTCCTTACCAGGCTTTTTTCTCTTTGTTCATTGTTATCTTACTACCTTTCTTTTTATACCCCTTCCCTGCTTCTCCTGTCTAGACAGTTTTAGAAGATAAAAGCTATTTTCTTTATGTCTCAAAATAACATTTCTTCTGAGGTGTCCATGCTCTTGTTTTTGTTTGATGTCCCTTTCCTTAACCCTATTTCCTTAGCTTTTTTGCATGTGAACAGTATATTCATGTATACTGTATACACATACATACCCAATTATTTATTCTCTGTCTTGTCTATACTCTTTCTGTTAAACAGTGGGGCTCAGCTCTGGGCAAAATTGTGAAGTAAACACAATCTGACTTCATATCTCCACCTACCCCCTTATACCTGTTACAACTAGCTTTTCTATACTTTTTTTCTCATTTTTTTCATTGCTTCCACTAAGTCAGTAACATCTTTGTGTGAATTATTTTAATATTGTACCATCCCAATTAATTTATGTTTTAAAAGCGAATCACATCAGATTTCTCTGTCTGTGAGAGAGGTAGAGAGAGAATTTGAGAGAATTAATTAATAGATTTAGATTTTTGGAGTAGATACTTTCTTCCCCACTAATCACCCCAATAAGCAACAGGCATAAGAGCATATCTACCAGTTTTGGTTTTTTTCTTTTCTAGCTTCTCCAAATCAGCCAGAAAGGGATGGAAGACTTGGATTCAGTAGTATAAAGTACTTTTGGAGTAATGGAAGTACGAAATAATAACAGAGCATTTGGCTTTTCAAAAGGGCCCAATGAGATCAGCACTTTTCATCATCCTTAGGTTCTATATTTTCTCTCCTAAGGGCTCTGAGTCACCTCTGGACCTGCAGCAATTCTCCCCTCTGTTCCCAGCTGTAGAAGCTGGCAACTCTCTTTATGAATTCCCTTGATTTTTAGCATTATGCTAAATTGCTAGAAGCTTATAGTCTTTTTCATCATCTGGAACAACTACTCCGTCCCCTAGTGTCAATTTTCCACCTTTTTTCCTTTGTAATTGAGCACAATACTTGAGTGTGTTTGGAGCTGACAATCTTATCCTGGGTTTCCTCATTGTGTAAGGATCTTAACTCTTTTTTTGGAAGATCTGGCTTTGGATCTTTATTTGTCCTTTGTGAACTGCTAAGATCATCCAGATGGCCTACTTGGGTCTGTTTGGAGTAATGTTTCTTAAGGTATGGACAGCAAATACTTAGTCAATTTTAGTAGTATTATTTCTTTCTTCTGAGAAAACCGTGGGGATAGGGGACACAGGAGGATGTGGAAGGGGTGGTCAGAGAAGATTAGTCTAGGCCTGTTATGCCTTTTATTTCAGTAACTGAGAAAGGAGCACTTAGGAATTTATATCATAAACCTACTGTTCCCTACTGCCTTAAAAGGCCCATTTTTCACTACTATATTGTATGACATTGTCTTAGACATTTCTGAGAAGCAGCATGATACAGTAGGAATAGCATTAGATAGATGCATGGATTCAGATTCTACCTCACACAATTCTGTGACTATGGGCAAGTCTCATACCCTTTCTGTGCCTCAATTCCCTCATCTGTTATTATTTCCTCATCTTCATTATTATCTGGAGATAATTATCCTTAAAAGAAGATCTACCTCACTGAGTTGTTGTATTTATATAAAGCTATTTGCAAACCTTAGAGTGCTATGCAAACATTTTCTGTTATGATGATGATGATGATGATGATGATGATTAGAATACTAATACCAAGGCAGGGATTTTAAACTTAATCTGTTTAAAATGACTTTGGTCAGTTCTTTTGTCTATTTTATTGTTTAGTTTCCCTTTCCTTAGCCCAGCACTGTTATTTATTTCCCTGTCTTGTGCCCTTGGCCTTTTCTAGATAAGTTAAAATATTGTACACATAAACTGTTCTTTGGCATAATGTGATCGTCTGAGTTCCCTGAAATCCAAGGAGTTTTATTAGTGGGAATTTTAAAGTCAAGTGTGGCTATACTGGATAAGTGGCTGTTAAAATGTGTGTGTAAAATGTTTTTCCCCAGGCTGCTAACATATCTGCCTTTCATTCCCCATGGGTAGTGTGGCTGGCATGGTTGTTCCGTGCCAAAAGGAATCCCTCCAGGCTTTTCAACAGTGGCAAGTGCTCAACCCTTGCTAGAGTAGGAGTGAAACTGAGAGACCTTAAGGGCTTGACTGTGGAGAGAAAGGGAAAGGATGGCTATCTAGTAAAGCTTTTCTTGCATTCCCCTAGAAGAAACCCATGCTGTTTGCCAGTGTTTTATCTGCCAGCAGCAGATGTAAGCTCTCAAAAACAGCAGGGAGGATGTTGACTGTAACAATGCATCAAGGCTTTGGTTTGTAACCTCAATAGTAAGGCAGATAACTTTTTTTTTTAACAAAAGACATTTTGATTGCCAGATCCATAACCATTAGCAGCTGTGGCTGTGAGCAGAGCTCTCTCCTTACACGTATAGTCTAGTCTAGACCTAACCGGCTTTCAAACAAAAAGTTGGGTTGGTGACTTTTGTTTCTGTGTATATATCTATATGTGCTATTTTTATCACTACATTCAATGAGCAGTCTGATTTGTCTGAAATCTGAAGTATCATTGATTATTCTCTTTCTTCTGAACTGAAGCCATCTTCCTTTGCCTGCTTAGTCCATTCTTCCTTCTGACTAATATAATAATCAAGACTCCAAATCTATGCTAAGGTGTTTCTGCTACTAAATACTTTTATGCTATTGCTGTAACATCAGTAGGAGGACAGTTGTCTAGTGAGGGAAAGGATTATTATTTGGATTCCTTTCTGTGATAGCATTCAAACATCAAGAAGAGGTCATCTTTCTGTAACTAGAGTAAAAGGGTTTTATAAAAGTGAGGTTTATAAAGATCAGGGTACCATTGTGGGACTGAGCAAGAAATTAAAAGATGAAGGAAACAATATATAGATATTATTTTTTTTGGTTAGACAGTGGGGTTAAGTGACTTGCCCAGGGTCACACAGTTAGTAAGTATTATATGTCTGAGGCCGGATTTGAACTCAGGTCCTCCTGAATCCAGGGCCGGTGCTTTATCCACTGCGCCACCTAACTGCCCCCAGGAAACAATATCTTATTCTAGCAAAATTAGATGCTAGATTCCTGTTTGTATCTAAAAGTACATAAAAACATCTCTTCTACTTTGTCCTAAAGACTTCTTAGCATATGGACCTAGAAATCCAAAGGAGGTACGAAGACAATGTCTGAAAAGTATGAGCTGAAAACCTTGTTTGTCAGCAAAAGCCCTTGTTGTATAAGGACCTTTTGCAATTCATTGGAACTTAAATGTAACAGAAAAGCCAGTAGTACCTTAGGCAATTTTCTTAAAATCTCAGCACATTTCATTGAGATTAAGTGAATTTTCAGAGTTCCCGTGAAGACGTGATCATTTATCAGTGTCTGACTATCTTTAGAGTTATCTTCAGTCTTTTTATCAGAAGCCTGTTTGAATGTGGCTTAAGGAAGAACCCATCTACATTTTTTAAGTATCAGAAGAACATGGTGTTTTTTATTGTGTTTATTCTTGAGGGGGTGAAATATAATATTTGATTTCTATAATAGTATACTATTTGGCTTTTATCTGAAGAATATTACATTATTTGTAGCTTCCCCATTGCTTCATGAAGTTAACATAAATTCCTGTTTTATAGATAGGTAAACCAAGGCCATCAAGATTTCATTTGTTTGAAGTTATAAGAGTCCTCCATACCCTATGTAGTTCAGTTTACAGGAACCTGCATTGAACTACTTGAGGTTTTATACATTCTAATTTGTGATTCAAGTGACAGAGCTTTTATCAGTTTCATTGTCCAGAAACAACTTGAAACCTTCAGGACTAAGCAAGAGAAGTTTTTTGGTCTTTCTTTTTCTTTTTCTTTTTCTTTTTTTTTTGTAGTTTTCATTAATCAGTCAATAAGCATTTATTGGCATACCTGCTGTGTGCCAGGC